GAATGTCCATCTTTAACGATCTTTTGAAAACTGAGTCCATGGCATGTTGGATTAAACTTGAGATAGCCATTTGAAAGTTTTGGGCTCGGCTCCGAGTTATTGGTCAGGTTGGTAATATAGTCGGGTCAATAGCCTTCATGATGGTCACATCACAAATAGATAGAGATATCATTGGAGAAAATATTTGGATTAATGCTGAGAGCCTAATTGTTAGAGGAAGATCGGATAAGAGAAACTATGGCAACAGTAAATCTAGATCAAAATCTATACATCGGAATATAAAGTGTAACTATTTTCATAGGATGAGGCACATTAAAACTGATTGTTTTAAATTGAAAAATAAGCAAAATAGAAAATCAGTTGAAAAGAAAGATAACACCGCTGAAGCTAGTGTTGCTGCTGATAATAGTGAGGGTAGTGTTTTTCTTGCCACTCATGATAAGGTGCGATCTACAGGTGAGTGGATTTTGGATACAGGATGCTCGTTTGCTACTTATGTTCAAGCAACGGAAGAACTGTTTTAATGAGCAAAAGTGCTATTTGCAATGTTTTGGGTAAGGGCACTGTTCGTATCAAAATGCATGATGACATTATGAGGACGATCACTAATGTTAGGCATGTCCCTAATTTGAAAAAAGAATATAATCTCTTTGGGGACACTTGAGGCACTTGGTTGCAGGTACACGAGTCAAAATGGTGTTTTGAAGATTTTCAAAGGTGTTCTCGTGATTATAAAATATATCCGATCTGGAAGCTTGTATATTTTGCAAGAGACGACTGTTACTGGGCATGCAATTGTTCCATCATCTTCCTTGGCTGAACTTAACATCACCAAGTTATGACATATGCGTTTGGGGCATATGAGTGAAAAAAGGCTTGGGAATCTTAAACAGAAGAGGACTTCTTTGTGGACAAAGTACTGGATCATTTGATTTATGTGAGCATTGTGTATTTGGAAAGCAGAAAAATAGTGAGTTTTAGGTCACTAGTAGTTCACAAGACGAAAGGTACATTTGACTATATTCACTCTGATCTTTGGGGTTCATCTCGTATTCCATTTAAAAGTGGTGCAAGGTATATGCTGACTTTTATTAATGGCTACTCAAGAAAGATTTGGGTATAGTTTTTAAGAATAAGAATGGTGTTTTTCTTACTTTTAAACAGTGAAAATTTTTGATTGAAAAACAAATAGGAAAATAAATCAAGCGGCTAAGGAGCGATAACGGCTTAGAATTTTGCAGAGAGTTCATTGAATTTTGCAAAAAAGAAGGAATTTTTCGGCATCGCACATTTAGGATGACACCTCAAAAAAAAATGGCGTGGCTGAACTCATGAACAGAATGCTCTTGGAAAGGGCAAGATGCATGATCTCCAATGCAGGGTTGACTAAGAATTTTTGGGCTGAAGCAATCAACATGGTTTCCTACATTGTCAATTGCTCTCCAAATTTTGCTTTCAACTTCAAAAACCCTGAAGATGTTTGGCCATGTACCCCTGCTGATTATTCTAATTTAAAGATTTTTTGGTGTTCAACATATATACACGTAAATGAAGGAAAATTGGAATGCTTCTAGAGTGAATGGATATAGATTATGGTGTTCTGATCCCAAATCTTCAAAGTTTGCAAGCAGTAGAAATATTACCATTGATTAAATGGCCATGTTGTCTAAGAAGGAGTCTTTGAGTTCAGAAGCGAATACACAGAAGCAGATGGAGCTCGAAATCGGTTGTTCTAGCACTTCCCAATGAAATTCCTTTATTCAATAGACATCAGTTGATATTGAAAGTTTAAAAGAAAAAACATATTCCATAGCCACTGGAAGACAGCGCAGAGACACTCGACTCCCACAACATTATACAGACTTTGTTGCACATGCATTGTCTGTTGCAGAAGAAATAGGTGGAGCCAGTAAGCTATCCACATATTCAGATGCAATTCAGCGTGATTATTCTGTTAAGTGGATAGCCGTGATGAATGAAGAAATTGAGTCTCTCCACAAAAATAGTACTTGGGTTCTTGTGAAACCACTGCTAAATAAGAGAATTATTAGAAGTAAATGGGTCTTCAAGAAAAAAGAAGACATTCCAGGGGGTAATCAAGTAAGATATAAAAGCACGGTTGGTTGCAAAGGGCTATAGTCATGTTTAAGGTGTTTATTCTAATGATGTTTTCTCACCTGTTGTCAAACATAGCTCTATTCGTGTTTTGCTTGCTTTGGTTGCCATTGAGGATTTGGACTTAGATTAGATGGATGTTAAGACAGTCTTTCTGCATGGAGAACTTGAAAAAAAATATATCTATATAAAACAACCTCAGGGTTTTGAAATTAGAGGAATGGAAGACCATGTCTGTTTATTGAAGAAATTCTTATATAGACTGAAGCAGTCCCTGAGACAGTGGTATAAGAGATTTGACTCTTTTATTTGAGTAATGGATATTTGAGGAGTACCTATGATAGTTGTGTTTATTTTCGAAAGTTAGCCGATGGTACTCGCATCTATCTATTGGTGTATGTTGATGATATGCTTATTGCTGCCAAGAATATGTCCGAAATTAACTCTATGAAGTTACAGCCTAGTGGTGAATTTGAAATGAAAGATCTGGGAGCAGTAAAAAAAATTCTTGGCATGAATATTCAATGTGATTGTGGACAGAGAAGACTGGTCTTAACTCAAGGAAAGCTACGTTAAGAAGGTCTTGGAGCGTTTTGGCATGAATATTGCCAACCCAGTGAGTGTCCCTTTCGCTAATCACTTTCGATTATCAACTGCTCAGTTACCACAATTAGTTGAAGAGGAAGAAGAAATGGCACATAGTCCTTATTCAAATGTAGTCGGCAGTCTTATATATGCAATGGTATGCACCCGTCCAGATATTTCGCAGGCAGTCAATGTTGTTAGTAGGTATATCTCTTGTTTTAAAAAAGCAAATTGACAGACTGTGAAGTTGATTCTGAGATACTTACAAGGTACTTTGAATACCTGTTTGGAGTTTGGAAGAAATAGTAGCTCTCTGGTTGGATATGTAGATTCTGGTTATGCTGGTGATCTCGATAGAAAAAGATCTCTCTCATGCTATGGATTTCGTATTGGCGATTGTGCAGTTAGCTGGAAAGCATCCTAACAACCAATTGTGGCATTGTCTACTACAGATGCAGAATATATGACAATGACAGAGGCAATTAAAGAAGCTTTATTGTTGAAAGGTCTTTTGAGCGAGCTCAATATACATCAAAGTACTATTGTTATTCATTGCGACAGTCAAAGTGCGATATACTTGACTAAAGACCAAAGGCATCACGATGGAACAAAGCACATTAATGTGAAGTATCACTTCATTCGAGATATCATTGTTCAAAAGAAGGTTTGTGTTCAAAAAAATTGATAAAAAGGAAAATCCTGTTGATATGTTTTCAAAATCTCTTTCAGTCTTCAAGTTCAAATAGTGCTTGAGTTGGATTGGAGTTCAGTGTTTGTGATTTAGCCCGATGGGACTTGTGTAGGGAAGGTGGAGCAAGCTCACTATTTTTTGTCAATGTTGGACACGCCAATGTGGAGATTTGTTATGTGATTTTGTCCCATGTTGGAGTGTTTTTTAATGTTGAGAGAGATTGTGTCCCACATTGCTTGCGGTGAAAAATTAGCCATAATCCCCTCTTTATAAATTGGTAGCTTTGAGTTGGATTTTAAAACACCAAAAACAAACAAGTAATATTTCCATATATAGTTGTGGCTTACTTGTTTTGCTTTGAGAGCATTAGGGAGATTGAGAATGGGCTTTAAAATTATTATTCGAGTCTATTTTGTATTTTCTCTTGATAGAGAAAGTTTGTTCCGCATTTGCCGGTGGATGTAGGTCGTCTTGACCGAACCCTCTTCTGTCCTTTAATATTTTTATTCTTACTTTTGTCATTGTTAAGGTTCTGCAAATATTTATTTGGGTCATATTCGTAACAAGTTCAGTTCCCACTTCTATCACAAATAATTTTCGTCAAGGTGAGTACAATATAAACTATACACATATGGTAAGTAAAGATGAGTTTATTGGTAAGTTTATGAGGTGTAGTAGGAAGTTATAGGTCGTTGTTGAATAACAAAGGCAAGTTTAAGAGGTGTAGTTGGAAGTTATACTTCACTGTTGAATAACAAAGGCAAGTTTATTACTTCACCGTTGAAAAACAAAATTATTCAACAAAATTTTAGTTATAAATTGAGTTATAATATATCATATATTTGATTAAAAATAAATTTTAAATATTTTTAAATTATAATTTAATAATATTTCATTTTGCATAAGAATATAAGTTTATACTACAATACGAATAATATATAATTTACATACAATTAATATAAATTAATTTATAAAAAAATAGATAATCTTAATTATATATATATATGTTTATTTAGAGAAATAATAGAAATCATGGGCGTCGTCTTAAAAAAAAAATGAATGATTAAAATGATTTTTTTTTTAAATATAGTGAATTGTATTTGTTTGAAGATTTTTCTTTTATAAAATAATTTTTTTTAAAAAAAAAACGGTTCATCAAGTTTGTTATCATGTAACTATTTTAATTTAAAATTTTATTAAGAAATACTTAAATCTAAAATATAAACTCCCTAACCAAACATTACGTACCTGAATGTGCTTCCCCTAGGCTCTACTCAAATTTGATTTCATTCATTAATGTATATTTTTTCCCTTTAATACAAATAATTTATTTAATTTGTACTTTTTTAGTGGTAAATATTATCAAACAAAATAAGAAACATACACCGAGTAACATAACATTTTATACTCACAAAAAGAACAATTTAAACAAACATAATCCTGAAACACCTTACCGGGTGTTTGTTATTTTATTTCACCTCTATTCAACTCACTTCCAAAACCTCATTTCACATCTCAACCAAACAAACTTTGATAATAAATTAATATATCATTAAAGTAAAATTACAAATGTACAAAAATGTAACAACTAAATCTAACTGCAAAATGGTTGGACTGAAATTCTCATCTCTAAAACCATAAATCAATAATTATACAGATTATCAAATATAGATAGATAGATAGATAGATCTTTCAAGTCCCAAAGATGAATAAAATCAAGTATGATACAATTTGCTCTTAAGACTGACTGCTTAAAACACACACAAAAAACCCTTGCAAGCCATCACCTTTTCGATTCGATTAGACTCGACTCGGCTTGTCTGGGAGTTGCTACTGATAACAAAACAGGACCCTATTTACACGACCCCGGATGGAAGCCGCATCACGAGCTGACCGCCAAAAACACTGCAGCCGGTGGGATTAAATGCGGTTAGAAGAATGTAAGTATGAATATATATATATATTCACTCAATCATCTAAATCTATGCTCACTTTAGGCCAATCATAAAAAAATCATCTTCTCATTTTCCCCTTTTTAGTAAAAAAACATGCTCCCTTTATCCGAAATTAATCTATCGATTTTGACGTTTTGATTCATCCGAAATCAATTTATTTATTTCCCTTTTTAGTAATTATGGTTCCCACAAAAATAAACAAAACCCTTGCATACTATTATTATCGCAATACAATCACTTATTTTAACTCACTAAAAGGTAGAACTGTCTCTTCACCCATATATTATATTCCTTCTAAATCAATCAAAATTATATCACTATTTCTTTTTCTGTTGTCCCCGAAATTTATGCAGTAAACAATTTTATTCACTCATAATTTTATTACTTTTACTTTAGCAAATAATAATCAATTTGATACTATTTTCTTCTATATACTCCACTACTTTTGATCAATTCTTTAATAAATTTCCTATAATACTATCATTTTACTTTTAACCAACTATATTTTAATATTAAAATGTTATTATTTATTAGTTTCCGTACCCAATCAAACTTACATAATTTTGTCAGACGGAGGGAGAACCTCATACATGTAAAATACTAATATTCCAAAATTCACATACAAAACATAAATGAATATCTTGATTTAAGACGGAAGGAGAATTTACCTCTTTGTAATGTTTATACTATAAAAGACAAATATATACCAATTATTATCTATCATAGTTGAAATTTGTATACAAATGCTATAGCATATAATTCGATGGCAAAGGGAGTCTTATATAGCAAGTAATTGTTGTTTCGGGTGATAGTTTAGTAATTTATCGTGTAATGTAGTTTAATGTGTAGGTTTGGCAATGTTTAGCTATGGTTTTAATCTTTCGAAGTAAACACATGCATGCAAACAATAAAGAAGCAAGTAGCACTGACCTTTTTACATAGTAATAGCAAAAGTCGGCTAGAATGAACGTTTGAACGATTTCTGATATAAGAACCATCGGAGGCCAGAGGCCGTAACCCAACGCCACGAGGAGATGGCCGCGGCTGTCGAGAACCTATTGAATAAAAAGGGACAAGAGTCGGTCGTGTATCAAAATCGAGCAATTTTGATTGAAATGTGACGAATAGATATTGTATCGAGAAATATGTTCAATATGTAATGACAAATATGGTAAAAGGGTGAAGCTTCCTATAGCAATTTGACTGTTTCGCGAGAATTAGTTGATGGATTTAGGTAATGCGTGAGCGTGGTGATGAAAATGTTGCGTAGTGATCCGAACAGAAATAAAAACTCGGGAAAACGAACAAACCTGGAGTACCCAATGAGCACAGCTCAAGAACCGTGCCACACCAAGTGCAAAGACATAATGTGCAGTGAATGGTTCAACAATCTGCCAACAAGACATTGAAAATTAGTCTTTTGCTACGTAGCGAACATTCTCTAGAAAAAATTTACCTTAGTGTTTTGCATGACACGCAGCTGAGGTAGAATGGAAACGGATTCCAGATAGACACAGAAAGCCCAGGTGATCCTGTTGACCATGTGATGCGAGGTAGACGGGTGGATAAGTAAAGCTAAAACAGCACAAGGAACCAACTGCACAAGCACAATAATCTTTTTTAATCAGCGAATGATGTAATTATTCAGACGGCAGTAAAAATGAAGTAAAAAAAAATAAAACAACAAACAAATAATCTTTATTTTTTGACTCCAAAGTAAATAAAAAAAACAACCATGAGAGGATCAGCTCTGAAACATGTACAACTACACGACCTCAGACTTTAGTCTCTTTGGCAGAAACAGTCATTAACAAAATATAATTACGACAGATTCTTTTGCATCAAGGTTGAAAGCATACACACATAGATGTGTCCTCTCCAACTTCTAGAAATATAATAATCGCAAATAAAATGGGCATCCTCTTAAAGCCTTTAAGTATGGAAATATAGACCAAAATGTATAAAACCGATGTCCCAATAGTTTGATATAGAAGAGGCCGTTCTTGAGTTGGTCTTGAAATTATGCTTAAATGTAATAAAGTGGGGGGAAACTATGGTTGTATTTGGTTTTGATTTCATATCAAAACTACTACAATTAAGCACAAACAGTTCTCAAAACAAGTCCAATATTTCCTCTTACAAAACTTCAAATAAGAATACTATTTAAACCAAAATTCAAATTCAAACAAACCCTATTCATCTAGTAATAGATAAGTGATATATGGTTACGACTAATTCAAATAATTACTAAGAATTTAACCGCCCTTACAGAGTGTAATTTGTCAAGATTAACGAGAAAAATGAAAAAATAAGAAACAAGGTGAGAAGATAGTTAAGATAGACAACAGAGAGAGAATCATACCACAAAATAATGCGCAAAATTGTCTTTATCCTCCATGTAACTTGAATTGAGCTTAAACCGCATCATAAAAATAACCCACAAAGTTGTGGCGAGGGTAGCCATATCAAGCAGAGTGTGTATGTCATATTCCATAACAAAGCTGCAATATAATCTAGCAGCCAAAAATATCGCCGTTAACTCCTGAGATTTGAGTGAAAGCCCTGCCACAAAGTAACTTATAAGAGTGGCTTCGAAACAATAAAAAGAAGTATTCAAATAAAAAACTGGGCCAAAGTAAAACTGCAAAATCCATAGAGAAAACATTGGATAAATCCAAAACACTCTAATCTACATCCAAATTGTCGTGAGTATGTTGCGGATGACATTAGGACATGACAACTCAGAAAAGAAATGGCTAATTCAAACTGAAAAGGATCACGTACAAAATAAATAAGTAGATTTGTCTCCTTTTGTCTACAAGGAGATCAAGAAACGAACAAACTAACTATAAAACTTCTTCATATGCACCATAAACATGTATCACTATTCTTGATGGATTTTTTAAGTCGTACAGACACAGACACTAACTTAGCTAACGAACAAGGAAACAAAAGGAACATTGCATACAAAATAAGTAAATTTCACCGTATTGCTTGCAATCTAATGTTTGGTTGTAGCTCAAATAGAAATATCTGAATCTAATTACCTAACAAACAAGGAGAGGAGCTTTACATGCAAAATAAGAAGAAATTTCACTGTATAGCTTACAATCTATTGTTTGGTCGTAATTCAAAGATCGGGTTCTGAAATCTAACTTAACTAACAAGTAGAGGAACTTTGCATACAAAATTAGAAGTAAATTTCACTGTATTGCTTGCAAGTTGAAATCTATTGTTTGGTTGTAATGCGAAGATCAAATTCTGAAATCCAACTTAGCTGCTAACACAAAGGGAATTGATAAGCTAACAAGCTTGTCATGAACTTCCTTTACACGTACAATAAACATGTATTGTTGATAGAAATTGTGCAATCATACGAGCCAAACTTGCGAATATCAATCAATGCTATTTATCAATTGTATGTGGTAACACAAATAGCGAATTCGGAAATCTTTTTAGTTAACCAACAAAGATCAAAATATGACCTACAAGCATTCACAATAGGCTTCCTAAAGCACAATTCCAATCCATTCTAGGCATATGTTAATAACTCATAATCGAATCTACAGCAACAGAAGAAAATTTCCAAGTCCAATTTCAATGTTCTTCCACGAAATCAAACAAGATTTTCCACAAAATATCCAACTCTCAATTCGCCAAAATTTGTATCCAAACAGATTAAAATAATCAATGAACAATTGAAATAATGATAGCAATCGATGAACAATGGGTAATTGAATTAAATCCCCAATCAATCGAAGTGGAAACCCTAGGCATACCGGCGCAAGTCTTCTCCTTGGTCAATTTGTAGATAAGAACGGTAATTCCGACGGAATGCACAGCCTCGGCGGCGACGAAGAGATTGTCGTGGTCGTGAACGATAGCGCGGAGGAGGACAAGGGCGGCCATGCCGCTAATAACGGCGATGAAGGCCTTGACCTTAGGTGGCTGCCGCCGGAGCCATGCGATTACAGCTTGGATCGGCCTCCTCGGCGGCTTCATATCGGCGATGGATCGATCGATTGATTGATTGATTAATCTTCCCTGGCAGGCAAGCAGGGTGGTTGAAAGAGGGATCGAATTGGATTAAATTAACAAATAGGGAGGATTCGAAAAAGATTCCTTAACAATCCGGATTGAAAGTGGGAAAGGGGAAGAGTGAATTTGGAGAGGAAATCTAAGAAATCAAATGGAGGGAGGAATACTCCGTAATGTAATAGCGAGCGAAAAAAAGGAAAAGGAAATCAAATCGAGGGGCGATTGTTTGACCAGCATTCATTGGAAGAGAACAACTCATACACAGACAGAGTCAAACGAGGTAACCCTTTTATTTTTTATTTTTTTTTATTAATCTTTTTAACTTTTATGGGCAGTTAATAATAATAATAATAATAATAATAATAATACAAGAAATTATATAATATTTTTTCCGTCTCAATAAAAATTGTCTTCTTTTTTTATTTTTGTCTTTTGCAAAACAATTGATTTATTTTTTATTTAGTAATTGTGGTCTTAGTTTGTAACAAATTATTTTTATTTTTTCAAACTATCACTGGTTATTATTCTAACATATTTTTTAAAATCCTTCTAAGATATTTTAGTCTTTTACATTCTATTTTATACTATTTTTAATTAAATATTATCATTTCGTAAACTAATATAGCACATTGTTGTATTAATTTAAACAATGTGTTAACCTCTATTTTATATGTTTAGATTTATAGTACATTAATCTTCTTGTTTGTTATATTTTAATTTAACATAACATAATTTTAAAATACACATTAAATAATATGAATTATAGTTTAAAATTATAAAATAACAAATATTTTGCTTTTAGATTATAATTTGAAAAAGAATTTAGATGTAGTATTATTTTGTTTTTTTATTTTCACAAAAATATATATTTTTTATAACAAATAAATTTTATATATTTTTATTGCACGTATGAAATTAGTAAACATTTTAACTTAGTCGAATTAGCCTTATCAAGTTCAATGCTCAAATTGCACGTAACTTTTTTATGGTTTCGAAACTCAACGTAAATCTCTCATTTATTTTAAAAATTACATGGCGGTCCTTATACCTTAAAAAATATTGCATTAAATTCCTCTGTAGTTTCGAAACTCAACGTAAATCCTCGTTATACTTTAAAAAATTGTACGACACTCTTTATACTTTAAAAGATATTGCAAGAAAGCAAAAACATATAGATAGAACACAAGAAAAATTTCATAGTGACAGAATTTCATGCAATATTTTAAAAAAATATAAGAGGTGTCGTGTAATTTTTAAAATATAAGAAAAATTTTTGAACTGAACTTCAAAAGCAGGAGTGTTATGAGCAATTTTGCCATATAATAATTATATCATCTCCATATATATATATATAAACTTCTCCGACGCTACCTAGCACATCACGGTGGTGGATTATATGCCTTTGATTGCAATTCCGGGATCACACGCAAGTTTTACCAATAACTAAATACTCCCTCCATCTCAAATACCATGTCCACGTTGTCATTTCTGTCGGTCCCACATACCAGGTCACTTTCCTTTTTTTAAAAATAATTACGTACTTTAATCTCATTTTAATTTTTTTAATTTTAATTAAACTAATTAGTTATCTTAATTTTAATTTATAATTATTTATATTATAGAATAATTATTTTCACTAATACATTCTTAATTATATATTGCATACATCCCTCCTAAAACACCGTGTTTACAGTATAGCAGATACGGTATTTGGGACGGAAAGAGTAATAAAAAGAAGATGATCCAAAATCCAAAACACACTAAAACATAAAGCAAAAGAATGCAAGAAACACATATAGTTCCAGTTCAGTTCCATCTTCCATGGCGCTACACTACACATTAGAAGAATCATATATAAGCCTAACTTGACGGGCAACTAATCGAGATGAGATGAGATCAGATCAGGCCGTCCACGACGAGGATCGTCTCAGGACGGGTTTCAGCTGCTTGTCTTCCTCGATTGCGATCATGCCCAAATGCGAAGGGTCTTCCAGCATCATCTTTGCCACCAAATACCCCGCCACCGACCACGTCTGGAATTTCCGTGCTTGCTTACCCACAAACCGCCCGTACTTTCCGTCGTAGTATTCTGGCCACCCGTCTTTCGACAGCCTGGTTTCAGCAAGCTCAATCGCACGTCTTGCAATCTGGGGACGCCCCGTTTTGATGCATGCCGCTGTAAGTAGCCATAACAGCACTGCAGCAGACATCAATAGACAGCAAGCATTCAGCGTGTATACTTACTGCTGGTTTTCATACCATTATATAACTTTGAAAGCAATGATTCTCGAGTCTTTTGGTCGCTAATGTATCATTATGCAGTGATCAAATATCAAGCGCACAAAAACACACTGCGCAATGTAGTCATGTTAGTTACTGGAAAAGAATCATCAGAAAGAATGTAAGATGATGATGACGAGTCATTTTCTAGGTAAGGAATCAAAATTCGGCAAGCGGACATATATCCAAACAATAATTTATGAATTAACAACTAGAAAGCATGTAGAAAAGGCCAAAAAAAAAATCAGAAAAATTATGGTCCTATTCATTTCTACATAGCAAATGATTTCAAGTATTTTGGTTGCTAATGTATCATTATGCAATGATCGATTCATACGTTTTACATGTAGCCTATTTCCCGAAACTAATATAGAGCGCACAGAATGTCAAAAACACACTATGCGACATAGTCATGTTAGTTGCTGAAAAAGAATCATCGGAAGTGCATGAAATAACCACTACATAAGCTACATACTAAGGGATGATGATGACAAGACTTCTAGGTTGGGAATCAAAATACGGCAAGTGAACATATATCCAAACGATAATTTACGAAGTAAGAACTAGAAGAAGATGTAGACAACGCGGGAAAAAATATATATACTGGCAAAATTATGATTCTACTCATTTCTATATAGCAATGATTTTCGAGTATGTGGTCGCTAACGTATCATTATGCACTATGCAGTAATCGATTCATAGATTTTATATGTTGCTTTTTTTTTCCAAAAACTAATATCAAGTGCACAAAAACAAATTATGCAATTTAGTGATTTTAGTTTCTGAAAAAGAATCATCGGAAATACATGAAACCACTACACACGATATATATATATATATATCATGTAAGTGATGACGACGAAGAGACATTAAAGTACGGCAGGCAAACATATATCCAAACGATAATTTATGAAGTAACAACTAGAAAAGCATGAAGAAAAGGCGAAAAAGATAAAATTCAGTAGGATTATGATTCTATTCATTTCACAATGTACCTGGCCATGATCCACCGTTGTGGTAGCTCCATCGGGTGTTTTTTGGATCACATCCTGTCACAATTCGCCATTCATGGGTCTCCATAGCTGGATAGGATACTTTAAGAGGCATATCTCCAACCAATTCCTCCCATCGTGATTCAATAAGATCCATGATGGCAGTTGCTTGATCGTGTGTTGCCAGCGACGATAGTATTGCAATGCAATTTCCAAGGCAAAACCAGCGGAAATCCATGTTTGAAGGGCCAACATTCCCGATAAAGTATCCTCCATGAAGTGGCATAAAATCAAAAATCCACTCCGGAAGGGAATCCGGCATGACATTAAACTTGTTGACAGCCGTGTGGGAATATTCCTCTGTCTTATACCGATAGATGTCATTCAGCTGCTTCAGATCCAGCCAAAAGTAACTCCTCATGTGATAACTCAAAGCATGCAGACGCTTGATGATTCGTTCAATAAATTCCTTGCCCGAGGCATCTTGTTTCAGTAAAAGCATGGCGCATCTTAGAGCCATGAAGAAAAGCGCCTGGATCTCAATCGGGTACCCATAGACGCCCTACAAATCCAAATGTTTCAAAAATAATGCTAGTCAGAAGCATATCGAATAGAGAGTTAGCATTTCTGCATCAATGCCTTACCATCCTACGATCAATCATACTGCAGCCATCAGCACAGAGAAGCGTAGGAAATGTATCGAATCCCTCAGAAAGGCACAGACTGAGAATCAGTTGTATGCCCTTCTGACATTCTGGCCTCTCAGCCAAAAGCGTGTCTCCAGTTGACTTAGTGTACGCCCGAAGAAGTATAATCCACCAAAAGCCAGAATCAACTGGAGCCACTCTTCCAATCGCACTCTCGCCAAAATCAGCTATCAATGTTTCAGTATTCCTGGTTGGATCATGTAACACTTTAAAACTAGCCGGCATAACACCTTCTCCCAGTTGAAACCTGTCGATCCGTTTCTCCCATGACTGGAGCCGAAGGGTCTTCAAGATAAAGTTTTTCACAATTTCTGGCTGTCCATTCATTAGAAAAGCCAATGCACTTGGAACAAAATCCCTGACAAATACCTACACAAGTTAAAGCTTCAGAAACCGGCTAATAAATGTCTCTAACAAGTCCCTGATCTTAACATAAAGTCGAATCACTTTACGTGGAAAAACAAACATAAGTGCTGTCTGATACGAGAATCATACGATCAAAATATAGACACAAAATTTTTTCATACTTGCAGCTAATAGCAATCTATTTTTCATTGATATAACAAAAAATTTCAATTTTCAAAAATCTTGCAACAATGATCAACCCTATTGTGTATGCTTCATCCAAATAGTAAATTCTGGTTACCGAGAAGCTCATTCCCATATATACAATGAAAGAATTCTTCAGTGGCTAGCTAAGGAATCCAAAACACTAGAAATACTATAGAATTTAAAAAGGATAATTTGTCGTCTTCACCTGATCGTAGTTAAGTTTTTCTTCGGAGTTATCTAATGCAGCTATCGTCCCAACCGGCTGGCCACGGAAATACACTAATGTCCGCATAAGATGTTCCCAAGCCTCGGCTATCATGGGATGTGGCTCAGCGGCCATGCCATAGCCAATTTGTGACATAGGAGTATTGAGTCCTGACCTCCTCCCTGGCGAATACACACTGTCAAAATGGTCGAATTCCCGTGAGAAGTTCTCTGCTCTAGAGGGTGGATGGGGAGAGAACACTGAGGGCAACGGCAGCTGATCAGTAAATGACCTTTCATCATAGGATCGCTGCCTATTCAGATTCAAAGTTTTAGGCCTGTCAGGTAGCTTTGAAAAATCAATTTCTTCTAATTCACGCGTATTGCTTGAAGAATCGGAGTTCTTTGCATAACCATTTTGCAGTACATCTACTGTGAGTGTCGACATTGCGGTAGAGCTTCTCCTATGCAATCTGCAGTTGTTCACATTATGATGAGTGAGGAGAGCACACAGACTTCAAATTTTGATGAATTAAACTGAATGTAGCCTCTCGAAAACATGAGAAATCCCAATTATCAACACCCAGACTTCAAATTTTGATGAATTAAACAGAATTTAGCCTCTCAAAAACATGAGAAATCCCAATTATCAACACCCAGACTTCAAATTTTGATGAATTAAACAGAATTTAGCCTCTCAAAAACATGAGAAATCTCAATTATCCACACACAGACTTCAAAATTTGATGAATTAAATCGAATGTGGCCTCTCAAAAACAACAGAAATCTCAATTATCTACACGAAGAATGATGCAATTTCAAACGTACACACACACCTAGGTTTGTTGCAAGGACGAACACTTGTGTTTCAGAATGATCTCGCATCTTCTAAGTAAGCAGAGAAACAGCGCACATATCCATAAACATACACAAAATCTAGATTAGACGACTGCAACAAGCACCGATTAAGCGTCAAAGAAATCTCACAGCAGCGTCTCGAAATTCGAAAGCACACGTCCAATTAAAACATAAAAAATAAAGGAACAATAAAATACAAAATCCTACATATCTCCCTCGCCCAAAACCGTAGAATTTATCATCTGACGAGTGCCTACGCAAATCATCCAAATCCACAGTGACGCATATAAATCCAAAATATATATAGATATATATACCGCAATCGGTGAATGAATTAAATCTCCACACGCAACAGGCAGCGGCGCAAACGGATTGAATTTCAGCCTGAATCTGTCGATCAGTTAGTCGGTTCAGAAACTTGAATCGCGCTGGTAAACCAAACCAAACCAATGGAAGCACGGAGAGCACGTGAGCAGCAGAAAAGCTCGTTGGTAGGAGATTGGAAATGGAGGCCGGCAGCGGCAGCGGCAGCAGGAGCAGCAATTATGGAAGGTGTGGCAGTTGCAGTGGCAGTGGCGGAGGAGCGAAATGCGTACCCGCACACGCGTCAGCTGGTGACGGCCTGCACGGTTGGCATCGGGCGTACACCTTTTCGTATAACTTTGTAATGTAGCGCCCATCATTGCTGCTTTTCGCCCCTCCATTCTTATAAATTATTATTTAATGCGTTTTACTTGTATATTTTTACGGACACTTCGATTTAAACTCATTGACATAAAAAATCTAATCTAATATATATATATTTATCCTTGATTTTGTGTTGCCACGTGGCGACACATAATTTTTTTTAAAAAAAATTTTTTTATGAGTCCCACCACAAATATATTATTTTTTATTTTTAAAAAAAAAATTTAATGGTGGATCTCACCACAAATATAATATTTTTAAAAAATTTTTAGATGGTGAGTCCCACCAGTATAATATATAATTACGTTATATTTGATTTTCTTAATTAATTAAACGTTCTTTAAATAATACATTCTCCGTCCATTTTTTATTTTCCTAAAGTATATTTGCATGATTTTTTAGATAATTGTCTTTTAATGCAAAATGTGAGATAACTAAAAATAAATAAATCGAAATAATTATTTTGATCGGAGAAAGTATTTTATAATTTAATTATATTAAAATGACAGTAACAAATTAATGAAATTTGATTTTTGTTTTGTTCAAATATCTTAAATTTTTTATCGATATAATTTTCAACTAAATTATAATTTTAAAAATTACTTATAAAAATATGAATAGATACCACTAAATTATATATAGACATTGTTTTTGCAATATATATTTAATCGATAAAATTTATTAATTTAATATTTAAAATACTAAAAAATTAATCGTATAAAATATTTTAATTTATTCAAATAATTCTCATATTAAAACTTTATATATATTTAATAACAATAATTAATTTTAATAATTCAATAAAATTTATAACTACCTCGTGCATAGCACGGCTTCACTCTAGTATATATAAATTCATTGACTTAACTGCACTCCCTACTTTTTATTTTCAATTATGCTTTAATTCCTAATATTCATTTGACCCTAAATTATCATATAATATAATGACTATAGTATAGTATGTACTTACATTATTTTTATATAAACCAATATTATCTATTCAGTACTTCAAAATTATCCCGTTGTACCAAAAACTATTATAATTATGTGTAAAATTTCTATTTATATTCTAATATCAATTAAAGAAATTTAAACTCAAAAACAAAATAAAATCTTAATAGAACCCACCATCCGAATCATTGATGTTATATCACTTTCAAACCCTTCTCCTTGCACGTTTTCCCTTGCCGTTAAAGTCCTCACTGAAGTAATTGCCGTCGAGCCTCCTTGAAGGAATTTCATCCACCGTAAAAAGTCTTTATTCACTACCCAAAGCTCTGTTTCTGTTTGAGATGTCGAAAAAGACCTCATCACCAAAAAGAAATTCGAAAAAGTAAGTTAAAGTTTATGTTTTTTGTAGGATTGGAATTTTAAGTTCATGGTGTGGTTGTATCTATTTTATTTGTGCGTCGGTTGGGTTAATAAAAGCCTCAGTGACAGTATTTTACTTTGAACTTCGTATCTCACTATCGGGTCGAATATAAGCTATTTTATGTGTTGAAAATTATAAATAATCTTGTTATTTATAGAAGTACTTTCAGTTGTATTTTTATAGGTGTGCATTTATAGTAAAATGATTTAGATGTAAAGGGGGCGGTACTCTTTGTTTTTTTCGAATATTGTAGACAACTTGTTCTTGTTAGGTGATTTTATAAATACTAATGTGTTGGAAGATGTCTCTATTATGAAGTTGGTTATAGATGTATCTATTTTGTCAATTAGTAAAATTTTATTTGTTCTTTATATTGTTTGCGAGTGTCTTTATTGGTGTGCCTTGACTGTTAATTTATATGTCTCAATTAGAAGATTATTTACCTTCGTAGTTATGTCATACTCACAAAGATGTCTTTATTCTGAAATGATGGCAGACCCGAAAAAGAATACAAAGGACTTACCTCCAGATTCTCTATACTTTTCTTCTATACAAACATGGCTAAACTTAAAGTTGGAATGAATGACAAACAACTGAACGTTCTGCAACTCACGCCGTTTGGGCATTTTTTAGATTGTCCGAAAATAAAGCTACCATGTCATTGGTTGTGGGCAATTGTAAATATGTTTAACATCTGAGTCCTAGTCATTTAAAATTAGTTATGAAATTGAAATAAAACTTTATGTTGAAGAATTCTTTGTAATTCTTGCTTTGCACTCAAAAGGCGTGTATGTATCTGAAAATGCCGTCGTATTATGTGAAAGCTTTTCGAGATTGTTCAAGGGAAGATTAACCAAGATTGAGATTCTTGAGAAGTTGAAAGAAACTATGGTCACTCATTTAGAATTGTTTGAAAAAGAAGCTACTTTGACATTGATTATAAGTGATTGTGAATATGTTTGACATCAAGTCCCAATTGTTTAGAATTGGTAATGAAGTTGAAATAAGTTTTTCTGTTGAATAATTCTCTATAGTTCTTTGGTTCACAATATTTTATGGTTGGATGTGAAGAAACTCCTAAATATGAACAATATACCCTCAATGAAGATATATATTCCTTATTTAACTAATTTACATATTTCTGATACGATTGCATGTACTCCTATTAAAGAATAGGCTTAATAAGTAACTAAATACACATTCGACATGTGGTGAAAAAAATGTGTACTCACCATATTATCCTAAAAATATCAATGAACACGTTCAATGTACATCTCAATGGCAAATGCTTACTTATAGTGTGAATAGTCCTAATAAGTCTTGTGTATAATATTTACTCCTTATACTATACATTTGTTTGTTGGGGATGTTTTTTTCTAGTCTACAAAATACCAATATGGACAAAGCTAATAAAGAGTGTAGGGACCGAGACATATCTCATTAGTTATCCACTAACTTATCAATATCTCTTAGCATAATTTACAACATCATATGTTATGTCAAACTTATTTTATGTGACATTCTCTTCTATCCTTGAACATACGAATAAATGATCTCAATGATCATTTCAATAGTATTGGTTGATAAACCCAAATATTCGACGAAATTGTAATAATCTTTTCAACCTATAGTCATGTAAGCTAGCTACAATCATGGTTGGGTGTCAAAAGACCCCCAAGTGGAAGCTACACAATCCCAATGATGATATTTGTTCCTCTATTCCATTAAATTAGATACTTCTGAATTGATTGAATGTACTCGTATTAAAGAATATGTTTTATAAGTACTTTTATATATATTCAACATATATTGGGAATATGTGTACTCACCAAAGGTTCTGAAAGCATTAATGGACACATTCCATATATACATTAATTACTAATACGTTCCTCATAGGATGGGAGAGTCCAATATATCTAATGCGTAAATTTACTTACTATACCTTTTAACATGATTTTTCTTGTTGGGAGTTTCTTCCTACTCTAAAAAATGTTTGCACGGACAATCACAATACATAGAATATCATGCATAATTAGTTATGCACTAACTCCAAAATATCTATTATTATGGTTCACCACATGATATGTTATGTCATATATATCTTAAGTGACATTCTCATCCACCTTTGAATTCAAGGATATGTGATCCCATAAGTTATTTTAGAAATATTCATTGATGTACGCTAACTTCCGAGAAAGTGGATATGTTGTAATCAACTACTAGTTGTTTGATTCAACTACCATTAGTGACAAAATCTTGATAAATACTTATATACCATTGTTTACAAAATTATACTTTTATATGAATATGAATGTTTTCATATACAAACACACAACCGTTTTATTAGATACGTACACTTTTGGTCATAATGAATATACCCCAGCATATTCGAATTATGTATATCTTTGGTATTAATGAATATATTCTCTAAACGTTACAATATACTCGTATTTTAATTGTAACAACTCCGACGAAAAAATTAAATACTCGCATAAATATATGTGATTTATGTTAATGTGATTTATGATATACAATGAGAGTACATTATGGGTCATGTTATACCGTAACGAGTATTTAGAAAACACGTTTAATAGGCCAATATCATGTGTAATGTATTGTCGTTGTTGATAATTATTACTTTGGATCATATCTTATATAACTAAAATAACCTGCAACATATTCTTGTTATGAATTTATATACCTTCGGAAATTATTCTGGAAGAATTAGTTTGGAATGCTACGTACTCTGACATAATAATTGTGTACACCCAGGAATATACAAGAGAATATCATCTAATTTTTAAATAATTCAATAGTGGCCTCTCATACACAGATTTACGTTCAATATAATCTTCTAAAAATAAAAGAAAATTTCATCCACAAGATGAGAAACCAGAAATACCTACGATAAAGTCTCATTGCAATCATAATTTTTAGTTTGTTTCACCTGATGTTATTCAAACTGCCTTTTATTCTGCCATGCTAGTTGGATAGGTGATGCAGGAGGAATTATTTCTGTCTGCAGGTTGTTTTCTGCTACATCCATATTATGGGTCTATATTGTAATATTCATCGCAAAAATCATATATAGACATATGACAACAGACGTTATATGTTGCTCAGAATCCTTCCGTAGGGATGCATAATTGGCTTTAATGAAAACGGATGTCTATCGTTTCTTGTTTTGCATAAGATATTTCCGCATTTTCTATAACCAAATATAATTACCTTGTTAAGCATATTATAATATTCTCACATATATTCTACACATACCTGAGTGCAGAAGTTGTCAACTAGGTATCAGAGATAGTATGTGTGGTAGGCTCTAGAAATATGCGGAGATGGATTTTAGAAGTCTCGAGTGTCTATCGGAAAAAAAAAAAAAAAAAATCTTTCCAATTATATTGATCATCTATGTGAAAGAACAACCCTTAACCTCCAGCAAAATTATTTCCAATTTTCATCATTTTCAGCATACACCGTTATATAGCAATAAGTTTTTACGAACATCCAATATACAAGAACATGAAATAAATACCAAGGTTCATAGATCAGTGATCGTAGTATATATCAACAAAATTGGGGAATCTTTAAAACATATATCATACAATATCAGAATACATAAGTATAAGATTACTGAATATATGTATACTACACCAAAAAAATGCTTCATGTAAAAATGCCA